CTCCTCCTCCTCCTTCGATCTCTGAGGTGATTCTCCGCATGCAGTCCAGCGCACGCTCGGCTTGCGCGATGGTCGTCGGCCAGTCCCTGTCGACGGCTGCGGCCAAGGACTGTCGACAGTGCACCCCCAGGGAGAAGGAGTTCTGCGGCGAGAGGCGCCTCTCGCACAAGAGCTACCACGGGAGTTGTGGACCGGAGGGAGGGAAAGGGAGGGGGAAGGAAGGAAGGAAGGAAGGAAGGAAGGAAGGGTTTCGTAAAGAGCAACAACAACGTTGTCGCCATATCGCGGCCCCTCCTCGCACCAGCGGCCGTCTCATTCCGTGTGTCCGGCGAAGATGGCGTGTGAAGGAGGACTGGACACCCCCTGCACCAATCAACCCTGAATCTTGTGTCTCGTGTGTTTCGTAGTGAGAGAACCAAGTGATGGCGCCGCCGCAACCCACACGAGAACTAGCTTTTGTGTGCAGTAGCCCCTTTTGGGTGATCCTGTCCACTGGCTGGCAAGAGGGCACTCCACAAACCCTGTTACATCCGTCCCGCGTTGCTCTTGCCTCTTAAAGTGGAGAGCTCCGATCTGTGGGGACTACACGGACAAGATTTATTAAACGCTAGAAGAGTGAGTCGCCAATTTTTCTCCCCTCCACGATTCTTCGCGAACGCATACAACACCCGGTCGCCCCGGTGGTCTAGTGGGTAGCCTCGCAGCCTGCTAAGGGCCAGGTCATGGGTTCGAGTCCCGATAGAAGTGGAGGATAGGGGCCAGAGGAGCAGACGACAGAGTCCAATGATGGGAGACAAACAAACAAAAACAAAAACAAACAGCTGGTGATACGGTCAGGAGGCGGGAAAGAACTCTGCCTGACTCGCTCTCCGAAGCTCGAACTGCAAACCTAGCGTTGGGATGCTTTCGAGGCTATCAACTATATGGACTACTGTGGGGACGGGCTTTTCCTTGAATCCCTAAGTCGTCAACCTGGCTCGTTCTTATCCCCTAGCTTTCTCTCTCTCTGTCTCTCTCTGTCTCTCCCTCTCTCTTTCTCTGTCTGTTTCTGTGTGTGTCCCTCTCTCTACATCCCTCTGTTCTCTCTCCTTCTCCCTCTCCCTCTCTCTCCCCCTCTCTCTATCTCTCTCTCTGTCTCTGTTTCACTCAGTCTCTCATCTCTCTCTAACTCTCCCTCCCTCCCTCCCTCCCTCTCTCTTTTCTCCTGGCCGGACCCATTTCACCTGCAGGTCGGCGAGCTTCCGTCTCCCCTCCCGCACCCTCCCGCCCGCCAAGTCGTCGTCGGCCGCCGCCTGTTTCGCCCGCAGCAGCTCCGTCCATCGGTCGAAGTACGCTTCCTCCGTAACGCCCCCGCAGTCTACGCATCGGCAGCGTGCCTGCTGCGCCCCCCCTCTATGTCGCCATACTCCAAGCTGCGTCCCCCCCAGCTGTGCCTCGCCACCGGCGGCACCGCCTCTCCCTGCCGTCGACAACGGCGGTAGCACTCTCCCTTTGCCACAGCACCCTCTCTTGGGGCAGACCCACGCCCCGGAAACCATCTCCTCCCTGTCGCGAATATCTCCGTAGATCGTGTCAATGGAACAACCACCCCCGCTGCAAGGGTCCGCCGTACCGCTACCACTGCCTCCCGTCCTGCTCCCGGCGCTTCGGACCGCTCTCCTTGGCGGCGCGGGGGGACTGCGGCAGCACCGCGGGCAGGCGCACTCGAAGAAAAAGTGGCAGCGGAGGAGGTCTTGCCTCACCGGCCAAGGCTGCAAGATGTCCACGTAGCTGTACGTTTGTATTTTCACGTGTGTGTATTATCCGCAGGGGACAAGAAGGCAAGGTTGGGAGAGAGGGGGAGGGGGGGGGTGAACACACAGCGAGGGAAAGAATCTGTTGTGAAGGTGGAGTTCAACCCGCCGCAAAACAACCGGCGTTGGAGAATGGTGTCGAGACGCTGAGACAGATATCAAGGCAGAGAAAATCGAGACAGGGCAGCACAAACAAGGGACTCGTTGTGTGGAAAGAAGGAGGGTTCTATTGTTCTATTTTTCATCCCTGGACAGCTCACCGAGGTCAAACACGGTACCCTCCCTCTCCTTCGGCCCGCCCTCTCGCACCCCCATGTTATACCCGCCTCCTCCCCCCCGCCCCCCCTCACAACCATTCCCACAGCCCCGTAAACTGACTAAAAACCCGACCACATCCTCCCCCCAAAACTCACGCCCCCCCTCCTCACAACGAAAACCCGGTACTTGTACCGCCCCTTACGAGATGAACAGCTGGGAGCCGGCAGGAACGTCCTCCACGGCAACCACGCATAGCTCCCCGGAGCCGTTGGTGCGCCACGAGCAGTTGGGCCGACACGAGTGGTTGAACATGGCGCCCGCCGGGTACAGGCCCACCCCGAAGTCCGAGTACAGGCAGCCCCGGATCCCGCTCCAGTAACGCCGCCCGGCGAGAGGCGCGGAAAACCCCGCCTTCCCGATCGTCATGGAGTTGCAGTACCTAAGGATGCGCAGGGAGTTCGTTGTCGGAAGGGTCCGTTTCGGGTGGGGACGGGTGCACCGCGAAGGTGGGGATGGGAAAGCTTGAGGGGAGGGGGGGGTGCTCCCTGCTCTACGAGCAGTTTGAGGGAGTAGATGCCGTAGGGTGAGCGCTCATCTTGTCAATTGCTGATCGCAAGGGCGCGGCACAACGGGGGCACAGACATGTTCCACGATTTCCGCGGGACGGGAGAGGGGGCTCCGGGAGGCATAGCACGAGCCGCCTCCTCGGGGAGGCGGGGGGGTGGTTGCGTCGGGCGTTTGACCATTGGGGGGAGCATGGGAAAGACCTTCTTTGAAGTACTACCCAGCCGCGTGGGAGCGTGCATCCCCAGACAAACATGGAAACAACAAACAAACGTACGCCCATATCGGCCGAAGTAGGTGTGGTGCAATGCAAATGTATCGGGCATTTCGAACGCGCTTCGCGGCCGAGATTCACATTTCTATGTTTTTAGTTGAAAGCGACGGTCTCGAGTACTGTCAATGTCCCGAGGAAATGCGAGAGAGACGGTGCTGTCGATCGGCCGTCATCTTGTGCAAACAACTGGACGCATCGAATCCTCCCGCGGCGCACATGTGCGGCACGACTCAACCGGATGCGTCTCAATGCTTGGTTTACTAAACACGCTGTTGGTTGGTGATGATGGCAAGCTTTTTTTATCACCCCTCGGAGTTTTCCTCCCCCCCGGTGTTTGCCATCGGGGTTGGGTTTTCGTCGCTTGGCAACGACGTTGTAAAACAAGCCAATTCACCTCGTGAACTCGGCAACCAGGTTACCGTTTTTTTTTTTACCTCCGTTTTTTTTTTTGGCGGTAACCATAATGGTGGTCGAGTAGATCATGTTGTGCGGGGTGGAGAAGCCTCACTCCGCGCAAGGGGGATGATCGCACCACGTTGTGTTCAAATGGTCAAGCACCCTCGAGGCAGTTACACAGTGCTTACAACTGTCTCTGGAAGTGAAAGCACCAGAAAATAAATTAATTCATACGCAGCTGTCATCCGTACGCAAGGAAGTAAGCACAAGATGCCGAAAACCCTTAGCAGGATGCAGCGCACCCTTCATGCGACTC